ACCTGGACTGCCGGCTGCGTCCTCCCCATCAGACTGGGTCACCTTGCTTTCCCTGGTCGGAATGGCGGGGCACTACCTCGGGTTCTGGCGGCAAGGTGACCACTCCTTTCAGGGACACCTGAGGTGGGGTCACTCTACGTCATTTACCACTCCAGTCTCACACCTGCCTTCTTTTTCATTTATTTGAGAGGCAAGGGGAGAAAGAAAAAAACCCCATCTTAGATGCACTGGTTCACTTGCCAAATGCTGGGCTGGCAGAAGCCAGGACCTAGGACCACCCCTGGGTCTCCCAGGTGGGCGGCCAAGGTGTGAGCCCCCGAGCAGTTCCGTGCTTCCTCGCAGCGCACATTAGAGGGAGCTGGCTCAGAGCCGAGCAGCTGTGACTGGAAACATGGTCTGATATGAGATAAGGTGGCCTGCGTGGCAGCTTGACCTGCTGTGCCCCAATTCTGAGTTTCATAGCAACATATTAAACACACTCGCCACCAGCTAGGCCCTTCGAGAAAGCACCTGGGCCCCAGTGTTATGGTGCAGTAGCTTAAACCAGCACTGTGACGCTGACATCATCTGTGAGCACCGGCTCATCCTGGCTGTCCTATTTGCTATTCAGCTCTCTACTGATGCACCTACAGAACACCGGAGCAGGCTCACTGCCTGGGTCTCTACGCAGTTCCAAACTTCAGCCTGGTCTGGCCCCGGCTGGTGCAGCCATTTGGGGAGTGAGCCAGTGGATGAAAGAACCCTCTCTCTAAACTCTGCCTTTCAAGTAAATAAACCTTTTAATCAAACAAGTGCTCTGTCTGGGCCTGTACAAGTAAAATGTAAAAGTAAAGATGACGTGAGGTTGTTATTGTTTAAGGAATGCAAAGGTAAGAATAAAAGCATGGAGTCACTATTGCTCAAGCTCACCATTGTTTTAAGGACACAGGGCTTAACTAGGACAGGAGCAATGTGGTTTAACTTAACTCTTGCTTCTATAAAATGCTTTCACAAAGAGTTAGAATGGCCCACAGGATGAGTTTAATCATGAAAGAGTGGGCCCCTGTACCAGGAACTTCTGTACTTAACTAGCGCTCCATCAACCTGACAGGTATCCCGTATCTGGGAATGAGCTGACCTGAGCTCTGTATTGACCCTATGTGATCAATGTTCGTAAAACCCTGCATGTGTTGCTGGGGCTGCACTCCGGCAAGGAGTGTGGTCCTGATGGTCGGTTTTGCTTTGCTTTCTCTAATAAAACTGTGTTACAGCCCAGCTGTTCCATGTTCCAGCAAAGGAGAAAGTACAACAGACCAAGCCAGCGACTGCTGATAGCCGCTGTGGGCCGTGGCTCCTGTCAGTGCCGAGCCCAGCTCATGCACGGAAGCCACAGCACCACAAAGTGCATGAGGTGCCCGAGGTCTGGGAGCTTGCAAGGGGCGGGGGGAGAAATTTCCAGCCAAGGGCGCTCCTTGCTGTCTTCCTACTTGAGGAGAACCTCCACCACGTGACTTAGGGGCCCTGCCTTAGCCGCAGGGAGTCAAGTCCTCCCAGCTCACCCATGGGCCTTGGCCGCAGGGAGTCAAGTCCTCCCGGCTCACCCATGGGCCTTGGTTAAGAATTGTAGCCAACCGTGGCTTTCACATCTCCTTGAACATCCCTCTGTAGCATATATGCTGAGCATGTTTTGGGGCTTGGTTTACCCGGCTCGGTAAAATAATACTCAGCTTCACCAGTCATCGCAGCAACGAGAAGGGCCGTCCTGCACCTCTGTGAAAGCAGACAACGCAAAGACTCGAAAAGCAAGTTCCACTAGCCTCATGGCTGCCACCAGATCTGCTGCAGCACCTAAAGACAGCTCAGACCACACGGGGATCTCAACGACAGCCACCGACTTCTGATCAGACAGTTCCACTCCCAGGGCTCATTGCAAGAAAATGTGCGCATGACAAAAGCCATGTGCAGAAAAACATTTACCACAGCATACCTCTTGACCCACACAACAAAAACAATTGGGAAATTACACATATATTAGTAACTTAATGGAACATACGAAACGACGCAGTGTTGAAGTACTATGCGGGGGAGGCAGGCAGAGCAGGTTAAGCCTCTGTGCAGCTGAGGGGAATCCAGCTGCTGATCTAACTTAGTTGATTTTCTCATTTCCTCCCCCCAAAAATCAACAGAGTAGATTCATCTCTGTGGGCAGAATGTTACCAGACATTTAAATGCTGTGTCCTATAAAGCTTATGAAAAACACAAATGTCGTAAAGCATACTAAAACCTACAACACGGAAGACCTAAATTAGATAGATGGCAGCATCTGAACAGCGACCTTGTACATACTGACCTGAATCTTCTTATGAACTGTTTACCAGTACTACGCACCTGATGTTCCTTTAGGACACACCAGCGCCTTGCTCAGGCTCAGCAGGGACCTGGATGACAGGGACCTGCACGGTCCTGCGGGGGACCACACGCAAAGCCAGCACCAGGGCCACGTCCCAGGCAGGGAGGAGCAGTCGGGAGAGGCTCTGCCGGTCAGACACTAGCTGAGTGTTCTAGGCTGCACAGATGTGTGCGACTGGGACGGCGCAGTGAGGCTTTCTAAATACTTTCTCATTCAACACATCTGGAACTCACCCAACACTATCTGATCAGCCTCACATCACTGCCGCGTGTAGAGGTTCTGCGTGAGCCTTAATGGATTCTACGACTGTTTTCATAAGAATAACTTCACAGGATAGTCTTGCAACAAACTCATAATTTTGTAGGGAAAGTTCTAAATTTTTTTTTTTAATTTTTATTGGAAAGGCAGATCAGATTTACCGAGAAGGAGGGACAGAAAGATCCTCCATCCACTGAATCACTGGAGCTTCTTCCAGGTCTCCCATGTGCATGCAGAGCCCCAAGGCTTTGGACCATCCTCCTCTGCTTTTCCACGCCATAAACAGGGAGCTGAATGGGAAGCAGAGCGACCAGGACACAAACCCATATGGATCCCAGTGCTTGAAGGTAGAGGGCTAGCCAGCTGAGCCAACGCACCAGGCCCAGAAAAGTTCTTACGTCAGATTTGCTGAGGCTGGCATGAAGGCTCAACAGGCTAATCCTCAGCCTTGCAAATGGGTACCAGTTCATGTTCCAGCTGCTCTACTTCTGATCCAGTAGTAAAATGGCTGAAAGCCTTGGGACCCCGGGCCCACGTGTGAGACCTGGAGGAGGCTCCTGGCCCCTGGCCTGGATCGGCTCAGCTTCAGCCAAGGTTACGGTCATTTGGAGAGTGAATCAGCAGATGGAAGATCTCCAACTCTCTCGATGAATACTTAAATAAATAAATAAATACATAGTCACACTGGAGCTAACGTGAGAGGATAAACAGAGCCTGGGTCAAGGGCCTCTCTCATGGGAAAGCCACGAGCCCAGATGGGGTACCGGAGTGGGCATTGGGGAGTACAAAGAGTGGCCTGAGTCTGAGGTGGGAGAGGCAGGGATGGAGAACCAATCACATAGCCTTACAGGGAGGGCATGGGCAGCCGTTCGGGGGTGTGGTCAGGTGTGTGTCCCCCAGTGGCTGCTGAGGGTCTCCTACACCTCACACAAGGTCAGGCCAAAGCACACACACCTGCAGCTAGCAGGAGACGGCGACACGTGGTGCGGGGCAGGTGCTGGCCCGCCACCCCACCCCCTTGGCAGCTAATTCCCTTAGGAACTGCTGGGAAGGCGGGTGTGAAGGGCTCTCCCAGTAAAAAGCAGCAACTACAGCTTCCTCAGCTCGACTCACCTATTCTGAACAGAGACCTATTTCAAAACGCGGTACCCAATGAACATCGTTATTTGTCAACTGAAAAAAAACCCAGCGTAGTGACGGGAAGGCAGGAGAGGGCCATGTGCAGCACAAGGCCAGCTCTCTGGTGACGGCCAACTGCAAGAGCAGCCACAGAGCAGGCACCTCACAAAAGGAAGACACGCCACGGGCTTCGACCGCAGTTTATTAAAGCACAAGGTCAGTAACAGGCTTCGTACATAGGAAAGGGACTGGGCAAGTCCAGGTGCTGTGGTACAAAAACGTGCACCAGTAAACAAAGAACTCCGAGACTGGCTGACTAGAGGAGGAACAAAAAGAAATGATTTTAATAAAGTTAGCACAACTCTAACTGCACCAGAGACCTTGGGACACTTCCCATGGCAGACGCGCCACACCTAAAAGCAGCCACACAAGCCAGCAACAGCCAGAGGTTTCAGAAGAGTGTAACAAGTTAACAGATATATGACTATAAAATTTTCGAAGTCGCTTTTATAATGTAAAAAAAGCTTAAATCTTTAATAAAGGGGGAAAAAAACCCAGATCCTCTTAAAACTTCTCATAAATAACTCTCAAGGCATATATTACGCATCTGCTGTAAGCTTTCTATACCTGAGCTCATCCCATGACCCTTCACCCTGGAGGGTCACCTTCTGGAATGTTCCATCGATCCACTCACACCAACATGGGCTGATACCCAGAAAAGTGGATGCAGACAGCTGTATGCTGTCCACCCTTTCCCAGTCCCATTTTTTTCTGAAAGGATTTTTATTTAAAAAAACAAAAACCAAATCAAACTTCTTTGGTTGAAGCCAAATGTTCTCACCTTTGACAATGACTACCGGGACAAAGACTCATGGGGACAACTCTCCAACCTGATGGTGGTCAGAAACCCCAGGGAGCAGAGCCTATCCCCTCCCCCACCCCCCTGCATGGCAGGTGCACCACCTGGTCATGGGCAGCCAAGGGGCACCCAGTGTGGGGAGAGCGGGGAGCAGTGGCTGGCCAGGGCCTGTGCTCAAGGTTATATGAGAACTCATGGCTCCATCAAAGCAAGTTCCTCCTCAGAAAGGTCGAGAAAACAGGGAGGACAGCCCAGGCTACTGAGGAGCGGAAAGCACCAAAAGCAGGACCTTGGGCAAAACCCAACACGGATGCCAGCTCCGCCGGGCAGGGGCTGAGGGGGTTTGGGTCAGCCGAGGCTGATCACAGTGAAGGGTCCCTGAGGTGGCCAAATGAACCGGGAATGCCCCTGAGCCACTCCCCATGCGAGGCGGCAGCCCAGGGCCCACGCACATGGCCTCCTGCTGCACAGCAAGCCACCACCAGGCTGCTGCCCGGTCACCTCCAGCCAATCTCCCCAGAAACTGCGAGGACAGAAAACCAACAGCAAAGCTCAAGGAGGCCAGGACAGCAGGCCTCCTGAAGGCTCTGACAGGAGCTGGTCTGCACCCCCAGCCAGGGAGCAGGAAGGAGCCCCAGACCCAAGCTTAGTGTTTTCTTCATTGTTGAGACTCAGAGGGGGAACATTCCGCCCCCTCAGATGAATGGCACAGAGCGTACACACACACACACACACACACACACACACACAGCCCTTAAAACCACCAGCAGGAGGGGGTGTCACCATGTCCCCGTCCCATGCCAGAGGGGGGCACCCCTGGCTCTGGCCAGCTTCCTGCCAGCTCAGGGAGCCTGCACTGAGCTCTCCCGTCCTAGGTGCGGCTAGCCCCAGCCCAGCCTGGCAGCAGGAAGCACCAAGAGGGTGGATCGGCAGACAGGAGCTCTAACTCCGAAACATAACAACCCACCACTTGTGGCTTTCCTCCCTAAAGGGGCCTGGCCGGCACTCCCAGGAAGCCCAGGCCATCAGGTACAAAAGGGCAATAATAGCTTGTTACTCTAAACAGTCACCAGCCCGTGCACCATATGCTGTTCTCAGGGCAACTCCAGGCACCTGGCACAAACTCGGCATGTTTTCCAACCACAACAGCACAGAACCCCAAGGACTGACCTCGGACAAACGACCTGTGATGTCCCTTCTCGGGTCCCACACCCGGCAGCCCACCCACCCACATCTGTGACCCAAGATAACCTGCTGGTATTTCCAGCAGAGAACTCGGGCCACAGCAGCTGGACGCCAGGCCTCCCAGCAGGCTGAAGAGGGCAGCTGTGAGGGGCGCCCACCCGCACCCACCTTTCCTCTGTGTTTCCCTGAGTGGCTTTCTGCAGAGCAAGGGATGTCACACGGCCAGGCGAGGACCCTGGAGCTGTGACACTGCTGGTTTCGGGCACCTGGGCGAGATCCAGGCCGCAGCGTGGGGAGGGGGACACACAAGGGAACATCTCCACCCTGCCCTTGCTTAGCCGATGTCCCCAGGCCCCCATATCCGCCTGGTTCAGGAACTGGGGCTCTCACCAGTTCACTGAGGCACCAGGTTCACCTAGTGTGCGAGCAGGACGCCATCTGACTCATGCCGAGTGGGTCTGCACATTCTCTCTCTCTCTCTCTCTCTCTCTCTCTCTCGATCTCTCTGTCTCACACACACACACACACACACACACACACACACACACACGGAGCAGGAATGAGCATGGGACCAACCCACGCAGGTTCGGACCTGTGAGTGATAGCATGGGGGGAGGGCAGCGTGGGGAGATGACGTGAGGGGTGATGGCAGCGCCACTGTCATGAGGGGTGGTGGTGGCACCACTGTGCTTCTCTTTATGAGCACAGCAGTGCTCAACATTCAGGAGCAGAGGGACCCTGGCAGAGGCTGGAGCGGCTGAAAGCAGTCGGCCACCGCCAGCCTCCGAGGGAAAGACTTGGGGGCCTGAACAGGCTGCGTGGTGGCAGGGCCAGTCATCCATGGACAGGGTGCCTCCTGTGCCCTTTGTGGATGCCAGTGTGTCTGAGAGGAGGCTGGGGGCCGGGGGTATGATGTTTGGGCATGTTTTTCTGTCCCCAGGATAAGAGAGCATCCACTTAGGTGCTAACCCCTGGTGAGTGGCAATACACCAAAGCCACATGCTCCCCGGAATGCCGTCTCCGGGGTGGCATTCAGAGAAAGCGCGGGTCACGTGTGGTCAGCTTGGCTGACAGTCTCGATTCCCTTGGGGGACAGACTGTTTTCAAAACCTCGGAAGTGAGGCGCTGAGCAGGAGGTGCTTTTCTGTGAGCGGTTTCCCAGCCCCATTCTAGCCAGTGGGGGAGTGGTGGGCATGGGTACAGTGAGCTTTCCGCAGGGGGCCCGGCACTGCTCAGACCAGGGCAGAGGGCCACTTTCTGGAGGGCGGGTCCTGTGCAGCCCCTCACACGGAGAACTGCCGTGTGGGGCAGCAGAGTGGGGCCACGAGCGTCCACAGGTACAGCAGCACACACATCCAGCACGAGGCCATCTTGACCCAGAAGATGGACCAGCTCCCGCTGAAGAATGTCTCGATGTTGGCGCTTTCATAGCTGCAGAGGCAAGAGATGGACCACAGTCAGGGTGGGAGAAGACGGGCCTGGGTGGGGGCAAGGTCTCTGATGAGGTGGCTCCCTGCTACTGCACCCCCAACAGCTGAGTGGCCAGAAGGACGTGCTAGGATAGCATGGTCAGGTCCGAGTGGCCCCTGTGTGAGCAGCAGGGGCCTCTGCATAGCGACGGGCAGGCAGGACCATCGTACAGAGATGACCAGTCACTAGAGACACCAAGGGAAGCCGTGGGCAATGACATGTAACGACACAAAGTGACCCAGCCCACACACATAAAAAGGACAGGCAGGATGCATGCCAACCAGCGGCCAGCAGGTGCTTCTTCTCGCCTATTGTTCCCAGGTTCTGCAGGCCCCCTGTGCACCACCGGTGGCTTGGGGTTCAGAGCACATGCCAGCAGACCTCTGAGTGCCCAGCCTTGGAGAGCTGGCCGCGAGAGATACCACCGGTGCCCACCGCAGAAGCGGAGCCCCGCCCCTCCGGAGGCACTCACTTGAACCAGCTGGTGACGGTCATCATCACGTAGAGGGAGGCCAGCAGGAAGACCAGGTGGAAGAAGGAGTAGCTGTACACCGTGCCCCTCTTCTCGTCGTAAATGACGCGTGGACCCTCCTTCACGCTGCCAGCCTCCTCCGTGTCTGTCGGGCAGAGCGGGTGGGGGCTCAGGGCCTGGCACACACCAACTCCAACCCCAGGACCACACGAGTCCCTGGGCACTCGGCCCGTCCCCCCAGCAGTGGGACCTCGGCCATGGGCAGGTTACCCGGGCGTCGCAGGTATTTTAACTGAGCAGACGGGCTTACTGACATCACACCCACAAGGGCACAGCGAGCCAGGCTGGCCTCCGGGTGCAGTAGGCTAGCCCCGGGGTCAGATGGGCAGGAAGCCCCTGGCCTCCCAAGCACCGGAGAGTCGTCCTTAAGAGTGGAGGGAAGCAACGGCCCCGAGTGAGGTGTGGGGCCTCCTGGTGTCCTGCCACTCGCTCCCTTCAAAGAACATCCTTTGTTGTGCTTTTCTAACTCTGGCTGCATCACTTCAGTACAGGCCAAAGTACGGCCTAGTCCTCCTCAGCAGGAACACGGACAAAAAACAAAACACAACACAACACACTGCCTCCCCCGGGGGAAGGATGAGTAGGACACCAGTACGTGGGCTCTTGGCTGACGCCCAACCTTGGTGTCCACATTCCTTGTCCCCGCGAGGGCAGAGCCCTCACACACACACACACACACACACACGCATGCATGAGGGCAAAGTCCACCACTTACCCTTCCCGTCGGGAGCAAAGCAGAAGCAGCAGCGGGCCACCTACACGAGAGTGAGGGAGTGAGTCAGGAGCTGCCTCCCCTGCGTTCTGTGTCCAGCAAGTGGGAGACTGGCCCCCTGCGGCCAGCCGAGTCCAACCGCAGCAGCCCCAGAGACACACATTTGTCCCTCTAGATGTGCTGGGGACTGCTGTACATACAGAGGTGGCAGCTGGATCCCCTCCAGGGAGGCCTGGCTTAGGCCAGGGCAGAGAAGGTAGTGGAGGCCACCCACCCGGGGACCACAGCGCTGGCCTGCCCACCCACCTTCATGGCATGCAAGCCTCCCTCGCTCCACACCTGCTGACCTCATATGAACATCCCAACCTCATGCTGCTGATGAACACGGCCTGCAAGGCAGGGATTGGAACCTGCGCCCCAGGCAGCCCGCTGGACCCTGTTCTCTGTGGAGGGTTGAGGTCAGGCAAGGATGTGGCAGGTGTGGGGATTCTGAGGTCCCTGATGGGTGATGTCTAGAAGACACTGAAACGTCAGAATTCGGGATCCAGTTCCTGCTGACACCAGGCTGTGAGCCGGCTGTGGGAAGGGGCAAATGGTGGCCCCCTTTGCAGTCCCTGGCACCTTTCCAACTCCACAACACCCTCCCCTACACAACACAGCTTCACAGGTTGTGACCAAAGGCTGCGTGATGTCCCCTGGTGATGGGTGTCTATATCCACAGGGGGCACTGGGTCCCCACATATCTGAGGTGTGAGAACAACCAGGGGCCACGGTGGGGAAGCCTGGGCCTTCCCCCGACACAGGCAGAGCCTCCAAGCATGGGACACTGCACAAGGCAGAGCCAGCCTCCCCCACCCCATGATCTCCAGCTGCACAGCTTCCCCTGCAGGGACACAGCCCTCCTCGCTCTCCTCTGCTGTCCTCTGAGCTCTCGCTCGGCTCACAATAGGGACATTGATGCCAAGGCCAGCCCGCCTCCACAGGTGGCCCCTCGGCCAGCTCTGAGAACAAGGCCGGCCTTCTAGACCGCCACGCCTGCCTATTCCGTCCAGCTCAGCACTTTCTCCCCCCACGGGTGGGGGAGCTGGGAGTGATGCTGGCAGAACACTGCCCTTTGCTAGGGGTCACTGCAGGTCAGGTGCAGGGAGTACCGTTTCCAGCCGGACAACAGACTTGTTTGTCCACATAGAGCCACTGGGACACAGCATGGGATGGATGGTGGGAAGGGCAGAGCAGGAGCAGCTGTGGCCGCTGACCCCCAAAGCAGCAGGGGGCAAGACAGAGACCGGGACACCTGGCACAGCCTCCTTCCCGGAAACCCAGACCTGCGAGTTCTAGGGGCTGTACTCGTCTGAGTTTCCTTTCTGTAAACAGCACATCACAGTTCCTCATGGGGGCTCAGGAGGCCACGGTGCAACTGCGCAGCTGGGAAAGCAGCAGGACTAGGGCACTTGGCACATGTCCATCCCCCACGGGAACCTGGGTGCCTGGAACTGCCCACACCCTGGGGAGCAGAATGAAAGCAAAGGAACTCACCTCCAGCTCGGGGGCCGCGTACCGGCCCTGCAGCGCGTCAGAACTGGACCTTGTTGTGGACGTCAGGCTAGGAGACAAAGAAGCGTCAGCAGGTGTCGGCCCTCTCGGCGGCAGTGGGGACTGAAGGTGGGGGGCTCGGTGTGCTGAAGACCCAAGGAAGAAAAGTGCTGCAAATGCTTGGGGGTGGGGGCGGCAGGGGGTGAAACAGCTATTCCCCGAGAACAAACAAGAGCACGGAGACGCTCAAAGTAAGCAAAGCACACCGAGGAGTCTAGCTAGTTCACTCAACGCCTCCTGTGCCTGGCCTGTTCCACGCACCGGGGACTCAGCACCAAGGGAGCCCAGCCTGCCCTCCTGCAGCTGGCAGGTCGGCCTACAGAGGGGCCTAGCCAGGAGCTAGGGCTAGCCTACAGATGGGCTGGCCTGAGACAGGTTAGCACGCACATGGGCTAGCCTGGAGATGGGTTAGCCTGGCTTGCAGATGGTGGTGCAGGGTCACTGCTTAGAAGCCAGTCTGCTAGAGGGAGAGCAGTAACCCCAGCCCCTGGCGAACAACCTGGCTCCTGTGGTACCCACCAGCTCCCTGCCAGTGCCCTGGGAAGGCAGCCAGAGACAGCCAAGTGCCTGGGCCCCTGCACTCATGCCAAGTCCTGATTGGAGCTCCTGGCTCTGGGCCTGGGCCACCCCAACCATTGAGGCCATTTGGGGGAGGGGACCAGTAGACGGAACATCTCTCCCTCATAAATCTGCCTGACATTTAAATAAATTAATTCTTAAACGCTGATGGTCACAGTATCACAAAACCCTCAATGCTGACTTCACACATGACCAGTGCCACCAGGTTACCCACGACCCCCCACCCTATCGGCCCTGCCACCATGGGGGCAGCACAGGGTGCCCCTGCAGCCTATGGCCAGGACCCCTGACGTGCTGTGCAGTCACGACGACCAAAAGCACGCCTACCCTCGTCCCACCGACAAGCCAGTCCACGCCAGCCACGGTGATGCATGAGGAGGAGCCCAGGAGCCGGCCAACGGCCCGGAGACTGAAGCACGCCCAGGCTCTCCAACTGGAGGGCCCAGACCTGCCGCCAGGGCCCCACCTAGGCTTCCGGAAGAGCCCTTGGTGCCCCCGCCTTGGCGTGACCAAGTTCAGTCCCCTTCTGACCACATGGCACACTGGTGACTCACAGCTCTCAGGGAGACAGGGAGGAGACAGGTGCCAGGTGAGGGCAGGCCGTTTGAGCCCAGCTCCCCTCCAGTTCCCTAACTCGCAGTTTCAGCACTGCACCATGCTCAGCCAGGAAGATGCGTGACGCCTGGCGACACCTCACTTCCCTCTGTTCTCGTTCCGAAGGCTGACTTCCTGGAGAGCCTCCAACGCTGGGCTGTTACTTCTTTACTTCTTCCATCAGGCTCAGCCCAAACCGCCACAGCCCGGGAACAGCTACAGCATCAGTGTCTCCCACTGCAGCCCAGGCGGGCCCAGGAAGGAGAGAGAGGGGCAGCAGGACGAGCAAGCTTCAGCAAAGGACACAGAAGCACTGGTGGCTTCCAGAAACCTCCCCGCAGCATTCCGAGAGCTGCAGCAGCGGCCTCCCTGTCCATGCCTACCCCCGCCCGGGAGGCTAGGGAGTTCTGGTTCCCCCTGTGCCACCCCTCTGCCTCAGACTAGTGCTGTGGCAGCTCATGCCCGAGAGGCCCTCAGAGGCCGTGAGGCCATGCCGGATGTCGATGTCACCTGCCCCAGGGCCAGCTCGAGGGCAACGGAAGCCGGCCGGCCCACGGCTGCCCGCAGCCCCTTCAGCCCCCTCACTGCAGAGGACGCGAGAGCGGCCTCGGGCGATGCCCGGGACTCACCATGAGTACAGGATGCAGCCGATGAGCAGGGCGGTGCCCAGGCCCGTGACCAGGTTCTCGTCCCTGTACAGGTCCTGGCCGAAGTCGGGGACGCAGATGCTCCTGTTCTTCCCGTGCACGTCTTGCACTTGAAGAGAAAGCGACCAGTCACCCACACCCACAGAGGGGCCAGCGTGCCCAGCAGGGACACAGGCCCAGTGGTGGCCTCCCAGCACAGGTGCCAGGTCGGGACCTCTGACTTTCCCAGGCTGTAGCACGGGACCCACTCGGTGGTGGCAGGGGGTTGGTCTAGGTTTTTTCCTTTTTGAAGTTGTGAGGTTGGGGCCTGTGTTGTAGCTCAGAGGGTCAAGCTGCTGCCTGCAATGGCAGTACCTATGTGAGCCCCAGTTCAAGCCTACTTCAATGCAGCTCCCTAAAACTGCAACTGAGAAAGCGGTGAGGACACCCAAGTCCTTGGGTCCCTGCCACCCATGTTGGAGACCCGAATCGAGCTCCTGGCTCCTGGCTCCTGGCTCTTGCCTGGGGCAACTCCAGCTGTTGTGACCACATACCAGGAGCTGAGGAAACAGGCCTCTGCCTTTTGAATAAATAAATGTTTTTAAAACCTGCTAGGCTCCACAGAGAGGCTTCTGTGTTGCTACTGTCAGCTGCAATTTCCCTTCTAGCAAGCAGTCTTCACTCACCACACCCGAGTCGGGTCTGACGGGCAATCACACCGGAGACAGGGGATGTGCAATGACAAGGCCACCCAGCAGAGGGCACGTGTGTGCAGCCAGGAGCTGACCACAGGGATGTGCACTAGAAAGGCCAGCACCTGAGCGGGCATTGGTCTGCAGAGTGCTTTCAGCCAGAACAGAGTGTCCTAGGAACTCACGCACGGTACAAGCACTCTGTTGAGGTAGGAGCACCTGAGATTCTGTTTTCAGTGATTAAAAAGGTGATTAAAGGAAGAAAACTTTTGAACAAAAACCCCACTTAGTTCGAGCAGGGAGGAAGCCAGCACAGAAAGTCTCTGGGCCCGTCTCCTCGGCTCTCCCTCCGTGAGGGCCCTGGTAGCCGTGCCCATCTCGGGGGACACAGGTGACATCGTCCCACCCGGGGACGGTGTGCAGGGGTCCATCAGGGTGATCCTCAGGGAGTTGTTTCTAAGCGTGAATGTAGGGCAGATTTAACGTAAGACTGCCAACATGGTCACCCTCAGCAAACAGCTGCAGAACACCACGGTGTGTGAAAAGCTGTCACTTCCTAACTTACTGCTGCTTCCTAAAAAAAAAAATAATACATCTATTCAGTTTTACTTGAAAGGGAGGTTTACAGAGAGAAAGAGATCTGCTATCCACTGGTTCACTCCCTAGAACACCACAACAGTTGAAGCTGAGCCCATTTGAAGCCTAGAGCCTGGAGCCTCCTCCAGGTCTCCCATGGGGTTGCAGGGGCTGGAGGACTTGGGCCTCCTTCTGCTAATTTCCCAGGCCACAGGCCACTGGGTCAGAAGTGGAGCAGCCAGGATGTGAACTGGTGCCCATATGGGATGCCAGCACTTGCAGGTAGAGGATTAGACTATCGAGCCACAGTGCTGGCCCCATCACTGCTTTTGTGGTCTGGATCCATGCTGTAGTGGACTAAGCCCTGAGCACTGATTCAAGCCTGGCTGCTCCACTCCTTTTCCAGCTCCCTGCTAACGCGCCTGGGAAAGCAGTGGAGGATGGTCCAAGTCCTTGGGCTCCTGCACTCACGTGGGAGACCTGGCAGGGGCTCCTGGTTCCTGGCTTCAGACTGGCCAAGCTGCGACTATTGCAGCCATTTGGGGAGCAAACTAGAGGATGGAAGACCTCTCTGTCTCTCCTCTCTGTAACTCTGCCTTCCAAACAAAAATGAAATCTTAAAAAAAAATTTAAAACACAGACATAGCTTCAGTTTTCTGTTTGAGACAACACTTACCTAGCTTGATTTGTGCAAGATTAAACATACACAGATTTACAAATGCTTATGTTGTGTATGTGTGTATACTTATCAGTAACATACCAACCATAAAGATGATGCGATAGTGAGATCTGGTCTTTTACATGACAAAGCTTATAGGTAAATTATTATACCTTAAGACATAATTGTGTTTTTAACATCCCTTAAGGCTGGCATAGGGGAGTAGCCAGCCTTGAATCACACTGCATCCCATAGCTACGTGTGGCTCCAGTCCCCGCTGCTCCACTTTTGATCGGCTCCTGGGAAACAGGCGATGACCCAGGTGGGAGACCAGGACGGAGCTCCTGGGGTCAGCCAGCTCCACCCCGGCTGTTGCAGCCATTTGGCAAGTGCACCAGATGGGAGCTTTCCCTCCCTCCCTCTATCATTCTGCCTTTCAAGTAAACAAATAAATCCTTTTAAAAAGAACCCTTTTAAGTAGTTATTAGAGCTACTCTAGAATAACAGCTAATTGTGTGCCAAGAAATGTTCTAAGCCATACCCACACACCATGTTCTTGCAGAATTCTACAAAGCAAACAGGAAGCTTGTCATTCAATTATCATATTCCAGTAATAATCAAAACTCTTATTTTAAAGAGGAAGCACTTGGGCGGAGAAGGCAAGCAGCAGTGTCCAGTTCTGAAAGAGCAGAACCAGGCGGCTCAGCTCAGGAGGCTCTCCCTGCCTTCGGCAGTCTGAACTACTAACATTACTGATGCTTAGCCCTGGCCATTGGAGGTCACACAGCTGGCCCTGCTGGGCAGAGTTCAGATCCAGCCTCCTTGCAACCCCTACTTTCCTGTAGCAGTCAGAAGGACAACCCTCTCAAGACAAAGAAGGCACAGTGGTTAAGACGGTGCTGGTGTTATGGCCCAGAGGATCGAGCTGTCCCCGTAATGCCAGCATCCCCACAAGCCCTGGTTTGAGTCTCGGCTATTCCACTTCTGACCCAGCTCCCTGCTAATGTGCCTGAGAAAATAGCAGGAAACTGCCCAAATGCCTGGGTCCCTGCCACCCACATGGGAGACCCAGATGGAGTTCCTGGCTCCTGGTCTCTGCCTGGCTTATCCCTGGCCACAGTAGGGTAGGGAGAAAACCAGTGGATGGAAGATCTCTCTCTCTCTGTCCTTTTATAACTCCGCTTTTCAGACAAATAAAAAAATGCATCTTAAAGGAAAAAAAAAAAGATGCTGCTTGGGGCTCCCACATCTGAATGCAGCCCAGGGCTGAGGACGGAAGGGAGAGGGGATGACGACTCAGGACCTCGGGTTCCTGCCCTGTGTGCGGGAGACCTGGGTGGAGTTCTAGGCTCCTGACCTGAGCCTGGTCCAGTGCCAGCTGTTGTAGACTTTTATGGAACAAACCAGCATGCAAGAACATCTCTGCCCTTCAGATAATGAACAAGAAACCAGCCTCCCAAAGCCAAACAGGACTTCTTGCATCCACTGAGCAGCGCGCAGACTAGTCCTAAAGGAGACTCAGCCAGCCACCCCGGGGCCATCTGACATGCAGCCGTAGGGCCAGGAGGGAGTCCCTGCTCTCACAGCCCAGGTGTGATCGCTGAGCACTGCTCGAGGGAGCCTGCCGCCTAACTGAAGGCAGCCCTGGCATTGCAAACACAACCACTTCCCCCGCGAAGGGCACGGGTCACCCCACAGACCTTCCTGCCGGCCAGCTTACCGACTTCCACGGGCTTGCTGGTCAGCGCCGAGAAGGTGAGGTAAGTGACGTAGCAGCTGATGAGGCCCGACTGCAGCAGCCCCGAGTGCGGCTGTCCTGGAGGGTGATGGACACAGCGGAGCAGGCTTGAAACGGCAACGGGTAGCTGGCACCGGTGCCAGTGCAAGCCCTCAAACACGGAAGGAACCCCACCCTCCCGGATCATATTCCTCCTCTAGAGAAAAGGGAATGGGGGCACAACACGTTATTCAGACTAAACGAAAACAAAGGGCCTGGCACCACGGCACAGCGTTACACTTCCACCTGTAGCACTGGCATCCCATATGGATCCTGGTTCAAGTCCTGGCAGTTCCATTTCCAATCCAGCCCCTTGCTGGTCTGGGAAGGCTGCAGATGACGGCCTAAGCCTTGGTTCCCTGCATCAACCTAGGAGATCCAGAAGAAAGTCCAGTTTCTTGGTTTCAGCCTGGACCAATCTTGGCTGTTCTGGCCATCTGGGGAGTGAATCAGCGGCTGGAAGATCTCTTTCTCTTTGTCTCTCCCTCTCTACATATAATGCTGCCTTCCAAATAAATACATTTTAAATCAATCTTTCCAGAAGCACGTCCCAGTTTCACAGCTGCAGTGAGGAGCCAGACTGAGCCCAGTAAACTGATATGGGATGCAAATCCCTTAACCACCAAGTTCAACACCCAACCTGCCCATAAGCTCTTGGGTCCCAAGGTCAGGCAAAGAGTTTCCTCACTGCTTGTGACTGTGGTCAGTCAGACGGACCTCACGGAGCCCACACTCTAAATTCCACAGGCCACCAGACACCACCCACCCATGGCAGGGTCAGGGACAAGACAATCCTTGGGAGTCCTGGGTATACGCCAGTGTGGTGCAGGCTCAAACAGTAGTGTCCAGGCTCCACACTCTGCCAGGGGGACTTTTAAAGCCACAGTATTCTCCCACTAGCTGGACACCCGACCCCAGAGCCTCGGATGGGGAGCCACTCTCTCCTTCGGTCAAAACGTTTTGTTGAAATTCCTGTTGACAGTAAAGGTTGCCATTTCACCCAGTCTTCCCTTAAGTCAGATTTGTTTCCAGGATTATTATTAAATTAATAAGTAACTAGAGTGGCATGGGGACTGAGAATTTACGTTAGCAACTAATGGCAGCAAATTAAATATTTCTGGGTATTAGCTCTATTTCTAAAGAGAGAATTTAGGACCCGGCACAATGGCTCAATTGCCTAATCCTCCCCCTTCAAGCACCGGGATACCATCTGGGTGCCGGTTCTAATCCCAGCTGCTCCACTTCCCATCCAGCTCCCTGCTTGTGGCCTGGGAAAGCAGTCGAGGACGGCCCAAAGCCCTGGGAAGACCTGCAAGAGGTTCCTGGCTCCTGGCTTCGGACAGGCTCAGCTTTGGTCATTGTGGCCATCTGTGGAGTGAACCAGCAGATGGAAAATCTTTTGTTGTCTTTCTGTAAATCTGCCTTTCCAATATTAAAACATAAATGAATAAAAACTAAAAAAGGGAGAATTTAATATAGGACATTTTAGTCTGAATACCAGTAGTTTGTTTTGGGAAATTCTAAACTGACAATTTAAAGGGAATGGGAGAATAGCACTACCAGTTTTAACAACAGACTTGAAGCCTACATGATTTGCTCACGATTGTTTTTTAAGAACGTTTTATTTATTTTATTTGAACGTCAGAGTTAACAGAGAGAAGGATGAAAAGAGAGAGCTTCCATCTGCTGGTTTACTCCCCCATATGATCTTAATGGCCAGAATTGGGCTGATCTGAAGCCAGGAGCCAGGAGCGTCATCTGAGCCTCCCACGTGGGAGGCTTTCCTGGACCATTAGTAGGGAGCTTGGTGGGAAGTGGAGCAGCTGGACTTGAACTGATGCCCTTTATGGGATGCTGGAGCCACAGAGGGAGCACCTGCTAGGTGCCTTTTTAAATCATTACTTCAGAAAGAAATCAGGGGGGCCACAGACTTGCCGCACTTTCCATCTATTTAGAAACCTGAATGCCACCTGCACTTCCAACGCCAGGAGAGCGGGACTCCTCCCGTGGGGAGTCTGTAGTTCTGACCGCTCCTAAACAGTATGAGCAAGGCCAGGGTCTTGGCAGTGTCAATGTCGCTGCGAGGAACTCAGGGGAAGAGGAGCACGGGCCGAGCTGGAATGAATCCTCTTTGCAAGCCCCAGGATGGGAGGAAGATGACCCAAGGCACAGCTGCCCCTGGAGCCCTGTTAGCCAAGCCTCACACTGACACGACGGGCAAGCTCATAAACCGTACACCTCGTACACTCGGGGCGCTCCCCGGGGAAAGGCACCCGGCTGCAGCCTCTGTGATGGCAACGCCTGCCTCCCTGGGCTCCTTCTTCCTTCCTCCAAGTCCCTCCAGGCAAGCATGGCTGTCACATCCAGCCCTGGTAAGGGACAGGAAAAGGAGACTGGAGCCCCACCAGTGCTGTTGTTGCCACATGCAAGGCAAACCAAGGAGTAGGCCTACTTTCCAGAAAACAAACAAAACAAACACTGTGTTTGCCCAAAGAGACCTCAAGAAATATGGACATTGGGGCTGGAGTAGCTGCATAGCTGGCTGAGCTGCCCTGCAGGCACAGCACAAGTCCCAGCTACTCTACTTTCAACCCAGCTCCTGCGAGTGCACCGGGGAGAGCAGTGGAAGGTGGCTGAGGCATGGACCTCTGCACTCACCTGGGAGACTCCTGACTTAGGCTGGGCCTAGCGGCTTCCCATCCCCATTGCTGCCATTTGGGGAGTGAACCAGCAGACGGAACATCTCCCTCTCCGTGTGTCTTTGTATCTCTGCCTTTCAGATAAATACATTGGGGGGGGGGGGAAATAAAGGGATAGAGAAGGAACCCGCCTGCTTACGGTTTTGCACACAGGGCGAGATGGCTACGAGGGAAATGAGCACGCAGAGGCCTCCGTTGACACCCAGGAAGATCTTGTTTTCCATGCAGCTGTCCTTCTGCGTGTAGAACACCGCCATCAGGATCAAGCCTCCGGCGGCCACAGAGTACATGATCAGAGTCACCAGGGCCAGTGAGGCGTACCACAGCTTGTTGCTGGCTGTGCCCGCGGTCCTGGGGGAAGAAAGACAGGTGAGTGAGGCCGCCAGCCCTGCACCAACGAGTCCACACTGCCCGGGGCACTCATTGTCACAGCTTCTGCTGCAGAGCTAGAAGGTCCTGGTCATTTCATGACACTCTTGGACCTGACCAAACCTGGGATTTCCTGTGGACACTCCGACACCCCTACCTGTTGGCTCAAGAGCCTAACCCATCACCAGGTGGCTCCACTGCGGCTTTCCCATGCTGGCCAGGAGCCACACTGACAGGTGTGGACTGCACAAGCGGCTCCTGGGAACAGGCTCCTTAGAACTCCCACCTTCCACACAAAGTGCCTGGGTTGGATTCCCACAGATCTGGGAGGCAGTAGGTGACGGTGCAAGTAGCTGGGCTCCTGCACCCATGTGGGACCTCTGAGTTTCCTTCTGAGGTCATTGTGGGACAAAGGGTGAGAGGTCAGCCACAACTTTAATAAGCGGGGCTCTTGGCTGAGGTTCTCTACAAAGTGCCAAGCCTGAGGAGTCCCAGTCTGCGCCTCCTGGTGCTGTTGGCAACTCCTCTGGCAGATGCCTGACCCTTTGTTAGGGAGGGCAGAACACCTACAGGCAGACCCGAGCCCTCAGCAAAACTGAAGGGAGTGCTGTGCGTAGCAGCTTACAGAAGCACAGGGACCAGATGGCAGCATACACGCTTGGGAAGTGTTCCAAGTGCAGGAGATGCCCCCCGATGCCCATGGGAGGTGGCAGAACAACAGAGCGGCACCTCCTCCCAATGCTCCCTGGGGATGGCAGCTCACCAGATGTGCCCACTCCTGGGGGAAGGTGCAGGCAGCCCTGCAGGAGCATCTGGTGATGGCCAGGGACCAGAAACACGGGGACGCAGTGGAATGAGGGTACCCTGGGCATGCAACCCATCAGCCCAGCTGGCACTCCACAGCCACAAGAAGAAAATGGAAGATGATAAGGTTCAGGGGGAAAATCGTCTCCAGCCCAGTAACCACTGACGGCAGAGAGACAGAACCGCACACAGAGCGGGAAGGGCCGCCCACCGCTTCTCATGCCATCATTCCTGTTACGGAATCAATTCACATCACATCTTCATGGCCAACCTCTCCCCTGGAGCCCAGACATCTAAAACCCCGTGGGGTGTTCATGGCCTCCACGCAGGTGGGACTCAGCCTCTCAAACTCAGCACCTGCCCCAATCCTGGGGCCTCTCCCCACCTCTCACCTTTCCTTGACTTAGAACACAGGTTAGATCTCACTCCTGCCCATTTCCAGACACCCCAGGACCCTCCTAGGGAGTCACTTAAAATTCAAAGCTAAGGGCTCTGCAGCTCAGCGGGTTAAACCACTGCCTACAATACTGACACTCCACATGAGATCTGGGTTCAAGTCCCAGCTGCTCCACTTGCGATCTGGCTCCCTGCTGATGAGCCTGGGAAAGCAGCAGAGGGGGAAGTTTCAGGCTCTTGACTTCAGCCTAGCACAGACCCGGCCACAACCAATCCAAAGCTAGGAGCTTCTTCTGAGTCTCCCACGCAGGTGCAGGGTCCCAAGGCTTGGGGCCATCTGCTACTGCTTTCCCAGGCCACAAGCAGGGAGGGAGCTGGATGGGAAGTGGAGCAGCCAGGACATGAACCAGTGCCCAAATGCGATCCTTGCAGATGCAAGGTGAGGATTACCTACTGAGCCATTGCGCCAGGCCCTAGAAAGTTTTCAAGCAAGCAGATGCTTTCAAAATACTTGCTAGCAGCTGGCACTGACCGACCCTGAAGGCGGCTTCCGAGTCCACCTGGACACAAACCTGTGGGTGAGGAAGCACCCACGTTCTCAGGAGAAGGCGTTCTCCAGTGGGTGAAGCAGGAGCTGCAGCCATTTCACCCTGGAGTCCCCTGCTTGCAGGACATTTGCAAACATCGTAGGAGGATTTCACAGTCAAGTCACGCTAAGGGCTATTATGGAAACGAGTGGCATTGCGTCAACAAAAACGCACGTGCAGCCTGTGGGCCGGAGTTCTGCACAGCTGAGGAAACGTGGCCACAGCGAGCCACAGCAGCCCACTCCAGAGTCCTCGGCTACCTTGAACTGGACCCTGGGGAGACCACAGCGTAAACCATGTGCTTCCCACAGCGTGCAGCTGGGGGTGACTCAGCACGCAGCGCCCAGCATGGCAGCACCACGCACGCTTGGAGCCATGACTTTGTAAAGCCGCAGGAAGCCCCAGAGCTGCCGTGGGGTGACTCACAGTGCTGGGAACATTTCACTAGGTGGTATTTCCCAGTAACAAAACGAATAACATTTTTTTTTTTACTCAACCATCCCCCTCAACTGCAATTATATCTCATTTCATCTTGAATGCTTTTATATATAAATATTTGTTTTATTTATTTGGAAGACACAGATACAGAGAACAGATGGAAGGACACAGGGAAACAAATGGCAAATGGCAATGGCTGAGACTTGGCCAGGCTGAAGCCAGGAGCAAGGAGCTTCCTCTGGGTCTCTCGTTTAGATACAAGAGCCCATGCAACTTGGGGCATCTTTCACTGCTTTCCCAACTGAATCAGCAGGGAGTTGGACTGGAGGCTGAGGACCCAGAGCTTGAACTAGGGACTCCCAACAAAAAATGCAGGTGTTCTAAGCAGTGGCTTCAACACGGCACCCAAATACCAGCCCCCTCCTGAACACACACAGGGAGAGAGGGGGCCCGATCCCATGGTTAATATGTTTAACTGTCACATACCCAACTGTTCCACTTCTGATCCAGCTTTGAGCTAATGGCCTGGGGCAGCAGCAGAAGACGGCTCAAGTCCTTGGGCCCTGCACACTCGTGGGAGACTCATAAGAAACTCCTGGCCTAAATCTGGCTCAGCTTCAGCCATTGCAGCCATTGGGGAATGAACCAGTGGGTAGAAGAACTTTTTACCCTACCTTCCAAATAAATACATGAATTTTTAAAAGAATTCCAGAAAACCAAACTGGATAGCCAGGTGCTGGCATGTGACTGAGCATGGCTCACTCAGCACTGGCTGACTCAGCAACCAAACACAAGGGCAGAGGAGGAGAACAGGAAAAAGCATAAAGACAGTTCATGCGGGGGGGCGGGGGGGAGGGATAGGCCATCGGCCGAGGAGCAGTGCCCACCGGGTGCATCCCCGGCTGCCCGTCGGCATCAGAGGCACGTACCAGTTCTTATTCCACTTGTGTGCAAACTCCACGATCAGGAGGAGCTGGATGAAGATGAAGATGAAGGCTCCAACGGCTCCAACATAGCGCCAGGCTGCAAGAGACCCATCCAAGAATGGTCATGAGTACTCAGCGTAGCTTGTCGCTGAGCACCCATGGCTCTGTCCATGTAGTGGGGGACACATACTGGAGATGTGCTCTCTGTCCTACCAGTGAGGAAGGCTCAGGTATGGACCAGCTGACCAAGCCTCAGGCCAAGGGAAGACAGACAGGGCTGGGAAGGGAATAGACACGGGCTGTCGGCTGCACCAGGCCAGAGGCTCCGATGCCCTGACCTCACTGGGGAGTCTAAAACTGCATGCTGCCTACAAGATGAGGCCAGGTTTGGAATCATACGAGCGAAGGAGGAGACTCAAGTCTGATGAGAAAAAGGGCTTCAGGCTTGTGGGGGACAGGGGTTCCAGGCAACTCCTGGCTCTACCACAAATTTGCAAGGGAGGGACTGTGGCTACTCCATGGAGGATGGCTCAGCCTGCTTATAGCACTGCCTGGCGGCTCAGCTGACTTAAGCTGCTCTTCTTGTTCTCAGAGGACCCTCTGCCACAGGGATGCAGCTCTGGGGAATTGCAGCCACTGGACAGCACATTAGGAACAGCACGGCGTGGATCGAACACCCTTACGGAGCACCTGGCAGGGGCCGCACGCCTGCAGGGAGCACCTTCCTTCCCTCGGCTCCACAACCTGGACTCTGGGGCCAGAGAGGAAGGAACAGCCCAGGGAGAGGAAGGGAGGGCAGAGGATGGGTGGGTAATGCAGGGATTCTTGAACAAGCCACAAGAGAACCGCTGCTCTCAGGTATCCCAGGTCACCCGGATCAGCTCGCAGAACACTGACAAAGCACAGTGCCTATGTACCCCGGATCCTCAGTCCATACCATTGAGAAAGGTCTCCTGGTCCGGAATGAAGAAGGCCCCCGAGCACATGGCCCCCAGCAGCAGGAGCTTGAAGAACCAAAAGCTGGAGAGGAGAGAGACAAGGAGGAAACACATTTTCATGGGATTCTGGAAAGGACTCCCGTGTCTCCCACATGGACAGGGCAGCCCGCCACCCCGTAAGCTTCGCCTCTCTGCAGGGGCCGGGAAGGCAGCTCTGGCTCCGGTCACAGGTATCACGCACAGGAGCCTGACCCTCAGGTGTGCCCAGATGGTCATCCTCGCCCAAGCCAAGGCTGGCAACTTCACCGGCAGAGACGAGGCGAGAAGGGCCCCGGGCCCTACCCATTGTGAATGTGGGCCCGGCAGCTCTTGCTATTGTTGATTTTCAAGGTCAGGAGGCAGAAGACGAAGAAGAAGCAGGCCATGCCGAAGCAGACGCGGTACACCGCCGAGTACCCCACCAGCAGCTCGCACTTGTCGCCGGCCCGGATGCCCTTGCAGATGTCCTCAAAAAAGGGGATCTGGGGACAGAGGGGCAAGGAGACTCTGTGACTGGCTGCTGGCTTGGCCCGTGAGACAAAGCCTGTGGCGGACTCAATCATGTGACAGAGGCCACAAACCTGTCTTCCGAAGACTTGAATCTCCCAGGGTCTCCTTTAACTGGACAGCACACAGCCCAAACCTTGTCACTCAGCTGTCACCCGCTCCCTTCGCACCTCTGATCCAGCTTCCCACCAACGCCACGGGAGGTTACAGACCGAAGTTCCTGCCATCCACGTGGGAGACCTGGATGGAGGCCCTGGCTCCTTGCTTTGGCCCGGCCCAACACAGACTGTCACTGGCATTTGCGGAATGCGAGACCTTCCTTTCATGGCCTCCTTACCTCTTGCTGTGCCTTCCAAATAACTATCTAAATAAAAGAATCTGTGCAACTCTTTCACAAAAATCCCAAAGATGGAGAATGGAGGTTTATTCCAGCACAGTCTGGAAGCTCACATCCCTGACAAGGCCGCAGGACGGTGGATGAGCAGTGGTGAGCCAGCAAGCAGGGAGAGATACAGGGAGTACGCCTGGTTTGCAGGATCAACTGTCCAGTGGACACGGCCTCCCATGGGAAACCCCTTTCACGAATCACCAGCCCCACAGCTAGGTCAAGTCTGCCTTGACTCTGCCAACTTCCCATTAATCTGGAACTTCAGATGTAAACGCTTGCATGTGGGGATCTGGGCTGAGGTCAAACCACAACACCCACAGATGGCTCCCGAGAGAGAGCTCACCTCCTCTCCACAGACAGCCCACAACTAGAATCCCAAGGTCCTGACTCAGGGCAGTGTCAACCCCAAGTCCCAGGCCCACAGTCTCAAGCTGAGCCAGACAGACACACACACACTGACCAGGCTACAGGCCACTGGATGACAAAAGCCAAGACCTGATGTCTGAGGTTTTCCCAGGCTGGCAGGGCACACTTCTGGCTGGCGACTTCCCCTGGCAAGTGTCTGAGAGCCCCACACCCCTCCGTCCCCGGGACTTCCTTTGTTCTTCTGCTTTCACAGCTTCCTGACACACGCTCCGTGCAGAGGCCCCGACCCTGCAGCACGGCCCTGCTCGCCTCCCCGACTTTTCTTCATAGTGTCAGCAGAGGCTGCAATGACTCCAGGCCTGGCCTGAGCCCTGGCTGCAGCAGCCCTGGAGCTGGGCCCCGGCAAGTCGGGCACCAAGGGGTCTTTGTTGGCCTAAAAGATCTCTGGAATAAAAGTCCCTCTGCCACTCTGATGGACCTGCGATAGGAGGGGCAGCCTGGACGATCTCCACAACGCCTCCAGGGAGACTTCCACTCCTCCTGTGGCTGTGCCCACCACACACGGCTCCCCTGCCCTGAGGGAACGGTCAGCTCTATGCTCTCCTGTCCCCGAGATGGGCAGCTTGCCACTCCCTACTTCCTCAGCCAGGCTGTAGGTTCTCCAGGTCTCGCTGCTCTGCCCCCTTCGGCTCCTGCTCCAGCGGCAGTCAGGCTCTCGGAGGCTGCAGCCCTGCGCATCCCTCAACAGACCCCGCCCACACCCGCGGGCCGACAGCAGCCAGCCAGGCTTTCTCTCCTGCCTTCTCCAAAGCTCCCAGGAGATGCCCCTACCTGAGAGGCGTGAGGCTCCCAGCCCCGGGCAGGTGGCCAGCATCAGCCTGGCCTCCCAGGAAGAGAGGAAGGAGAGAGATGCAGGCATCGCACAGCTCCTTCTCCTCTCTCTGCAATCCCAGTACTCCCCGAGGACCCCCACCCCACAGCAAGCGTTCACAGCAACCCGCACGCCATTAACATCCGCCGACCCTGACAGCCCAGTCTGCTCACAGCACAGCAGCGACATGGCACAGTGCCTTTCCCTCCGACTATCAATAAGGCACAGGGAGCTTTCCCTCAGGGGTACACAGAACCTCGTGCCTTGTAACCTCCATGTGGCATGTGGACTCCATACTGTTGTCGATGTGCGTGTGGGACTCGACCTGGAAATGGATCAACAGCCTGAAATGTTTCCCAGGCAAGAACAGTTCCCATCCCAATCCCACCACTAACATCCAAGCCTAAAAGACAAAATACGGGCCCAGCGCAGTAGCCTAGTGCTAGTTGAGGACAGACCAAAGCCTTGAGACCCTGCACCTGCGTGGGAGACCTGGAAGAAGCTCCTGGTTCCTGACTTTAGACTGGCTAGCTCCAAAGATGTTATAGCCTTCTGGGGAGTGAATCAGAGAATGGAAGATTCCTTCTCTCCCCCACCACCTGCTTCCCTCTTGGGTAGAAGTTGAGGTGAGCAATGGTCCTGACCTCTCCCTGCTGCAGGCCACGGTGGCCATGTGCCTGGCTTTCCGATGTGTGCAGGTGAAACTGCTTCTTGTCAAGATAAAGCTGGGCCCCCTTCAGAACAGCAAGGAAGTTATAAAAATCACACGACAGCTGCTATGCACATGAGGAACAGAACCTGCAGACTTCAGCATGGCGTGGGGGCAGAATCCATGCAGGACAGAGGTTCAGTGACCACAGAGGCAGCGAGGATTCCCACAAACAGAGACGCCTGCACACGAGGAGAATTCGACTGGCCTTCACCTCCAGAGGCTTCCGGCCCCATAGGGCCCAGCCCTAGTCCCTCACAGCATCTGTGTGGACATCTGGCTAAAGTGCCTAAGGCTGCAGCTCCGGGCCCACAATCGGCCACAAACGCTGCGAGCAGGAGAGGTCAAATCCATGAGCCTGCAGATCTTACACCTGGGCAAGACGGGGCGGCAACACGGGCGTCCTCCTGGGTTTCTGTGATCAGGGATCCGCAGGGTAAGATCCCCAGACCGCGAGATGCACGCCCCTGCCCCCAGGCACCTTGAGAATGTGTGTGCTATCCAAGAGGCGATCTGAAAGATCCCTGCAGGACACCGTCTGAGGGGCACAGGCTGCGCAGGGTACCCCGGCAGGTGCACCTGCGTCTTCTCCCATAAGCCCCTGTCAGTGATTCTGGCAGGCTGGGATTGCTGGGTGCATACAGAGACAGGCACTGCTACAGCCAACATGAACACCCGCAAGCCCACGCTGCCTCCTCCAGCCCTGATTCTGGACAGGCAAGGGGTCACTTTTTGTGCTGAGCTCAGTCTGTCTTGTATGGGGTTAGATAGGCCACGTGTGTCTAAATGGAGGACATTTATGATAAAAGAGCTGCTCTCTGATGCGAGAGGAAGCTCCTGGGGTAGGCCAGGTCTTTGGGGTGGGGAGGGGAATGAAGCTGCTGGGGCGTAAAGCTGAATCAGAAGCCCCAGCGTGCGGTGAGGCCTCTGGGCTGTCTGTCGGCCTGGAGCAAGCTTGGAGCACCGACATGCACTCACCCTTCTCCCAGGGACTGACAGCCCCGAAACACTCAGCTCCTCCTCCCTCACTAACTCCTAACCCTTTGCCCACTCCCTCCAGGGGACCTGCACCCCCAGCCCAGGCCTGGATGGCATATGCCAGACACCCACTGGGCCCAGTCTCCCAGCCCACCTCCCTGCTGGCCAGGTGTCATGACTGCAAAACAAACCCTTGCTAAAATGAACAGAGTGAGTGAGGAAGCGTGCAGCTGACCTAAAGGTTCTAATCACAAGACTCTCGGGGTCGGGGCGCTGCCTTCTCTATCAGACAACATCTTGCTCTTCACCATTTAGAGACACCTTGTCATTCCCAATTTAGACAACTCCTGGCTTTTACCTCAAGATCTTCAAGTTGCATCTGATCCAGAGGACTTCCAGGCCCACACAGAAAATAACCACCACCACTCACACTCTGCCCTTGAACTGACGAGAGCCCTTGGCCTGGACATGGCTGGCCAGGAGCGTGGGCACTGCAGACTACAAAAGAACACACAGCTCCGAGGTGGGATTTCACGGCCTTCTTGCTCTCTGGCTTTGTGGTAAACAGCCCCATGCTGTCCCAGCTTTCTGCGTGCTAGGGGAGCAGCCCCAGTCTGGGGGTTTCCTACTCCTCTAGGGGTGGTCTCTCACCCTGCCCAGCCTCTCTGCCATCAACACACCTGCCTTGCCCAAGCCAGCGGCCCTCCCAGCCTCCCATGGGACCCGTTTCTAGCAGGGGGCGGATGGCAACAGTTGCCAGGGTCCCAGGCAGGGAGAAGGCGCTGGGATCATGCAGGGGCAACGCGTGTGGTCCAGTATGTCCCGTCCCCACAAGGGGCAGGCTGACACCCGCTTACACCAGCATCGCCCCTTGCGTTTGCTGGGCAACTTGGCAGCCTGCAGCCTCGGACCAGCAGGAGTATTTTTAGGCAGACACACTCCACGTGGAGGGAGCTGGAAGAGTTTCAGCCAGGAGAAGAATTCACCCTGATTCAATATTTGCTGTTCCAAATTCCAGTCCAGTTTTGGAAAAGAGAAAAACAGGCATTGCACACAGACCCTGCCCTGTGGGGGAAGTGGACATGCCCGCTAAGGGTGTGGCCCCTCAAGTCTGGCTCCGGGTACCCGGGGACATGGCCAGGGAGTCAGGCATGTGCGCACACACACACACACACACACACACACACACACACACACACAGCGTCTGCGTTGGCTCTGCATGGGCCTCTAAGAGCTCAGATTGCTCCCAACATTCACATCACTCAAGCTGAAAGCCACAGAAGATCAGGCAAGGATAAACAGCTCATAGGGATTTGTGATCCCAGCTCTACTGCTACCCTGAGCCAGCTCCGCTCCCCTCTCTGTAAGATGAGGCAAGCCTAGGGCTGCCATAACCGCTCAACTGGCTAATCCCCTGCCTGCAAGCACCAGCATCCCATTTGGGCACCAATTTGTATCCCAGCTGCTCTACTTCCCATTCAACTCCTTTCTTATGTCCTGGGAAAACAGAGGAAGATGGCCAGAGGCCTTGGGATCTTAAGCCCACATGGGAGACCTGGAAAAAGCTCCTGGACCTGCCCAGCTCTGGCTATTATGGTCATCTGGGGAGGGAACCAGCAGGTGGAAAATTCTGTTTTACCTCCTTTCTCTGTAACTCTGCCTT